TTAAATTAATTCACTTATTAAGATAAAAATATAAAATTATGAGCAAAATACACAAGAATGTTTATATTGATTATAAATTTCATGAATCAAATATGTAAATTTACACAAACATCAAACACAAATAGAAAAATAAAATTTATTTGATATATTATTAAAAATAAATATTAATTTAATTTTTTTTTATGTTCACGAGTCTTATCGAGTCGAGCTTGACACACCTCAATCAATTAACAAGTCTAAAAATTGAGTTTCAACTCATTCATTTAGTAAACGAAACAAACTCAAACGAGTTTTAAACGAACCGCGCTCGAGTTATTCAAAAACATCACGGTTCATTTGTAGCTTTAATTGTGAAAGAGTTATAATTGTTTTTTGAACATAGGTTTGTTTGTTTCAACGTAAAATATTTTGTAAATTGATTTTACATTAAAAAAAATGTTTTTGTTTTGTTTTTTGACATTTAGTTGACACTTGAAACAAAAACATTTTATTGCCTAAAAAGAAAAATTTTGATTCAATAAAGTATTATTTATGACTTTTTAGTGAGCTAAGATATTTATTTTAAAAGGCTAATTATGTTGAAAAGGTAATGAGTGAGAGTCAACTTTGTAAAAATTGACTTGCGAAAATTTTTAAGGTATGTCATTTTTGAGAAAATGATGCCAAAATATTTTTCTTAAAATATGTTTTACTTACTTTTTGCTCAACCAAACAACAAAAAATTAATAAACATTTTGCATCAAAACAAACAGAGCCATAATGTAAATCTTTATATATATATATTTTGTATATGTATGATTTCTTTAATTTCTTTTATTATTATTTTATATCTCACCGATTTTAATTAAAATAATCATTTTTTTTAGAATTAATTACCTAAAAATCCTATATATAAATGTTATGGTTGTTCAGGTCTTATCTAAGATTTTTTGAACTAATAAGTCCTATTTAGTAAAATTGAGAATATTATTAGTTTTTCCAATTTTTAAAATTAAGAACATTATCAATTTTGCATAGTAATGTTCCAGATAATTATTTCACTAACTGATAAAAAAAAGAGCATGAGAGTAAAATTTTTTATCTTTTTACTTATTGGTTTGATTCAATTATCCAATAAAATCGAAAATATTATCAGTTCTTTCTAATTTTAAAATTGAGAATATTATCAGTTTTTTCATTTTTAAAATTTTCTTTAAATTTTTTTTCTAGTTTTGTACATCAATGTTCCATCATCATGCTTTTTTATAGGCACAAAAGTTTTAATTTTGTACAAAAAAATAATTCGATTTTTTTTAAAAAAAACATTTTTGTTTTGTTTTTTTTTTTTTGCACATAATTTTGTTTTTTTTAGTTTTTTTAATTTGAAAGTTGATGTTTTAAAGTTTTGAAAATCTAAATAAATGTCAAATCATCATATTTCTTTATAAATAATCATAAATGCTGAGCAATCATGGTTTGAAGGATAACTACGACTATTAAAAATTTAATGAGACTTGAAGATCTAAAAAATCTTAATTAAAACTTAATAGAGTATAAATTCTTAAATTAAGATTTGTGTGTAAATATATATTTTTTTTTCTAACATACAGCACATAGTGTGTTTTGGAGGCAAGTCAACATTTGGTTGTAGAAGAACTATGATGGTATACATTTGAATACTATTATTCGGTGGGTTTTTTTTTTTTTTTTTTTTTTTTTTTTTTTGTTGCTCAAGCTGTGTGTCTGTATTCGGCTTGGAGGCAAACAATTAGTCCAAGATTTTTTATTTTTATTTTTATTTTTTATAACTCAATATCCCACTCAATAGATCGACTAGTCTAAAACTTGATACTTTTTTTTGTTCTATTATTGCTGTTTTGTTTAAGCCGTGTACCTCAGCTTGGAAGGTTCCTCTGCTACTTTGAATACTCAGTTTGCATTCCTGTGGTTTGTTCACTTGTTTCGTTGTCTTCTTCAGCTTCGTTTTTGAGGATTGTTTGTTCAATTATTTGGTGAGATATTTTCTCTTGTCATTTGTGCTTATTCGAAATTTATTTAAGAGTGATTATGAGATCTTTGTGTCTCGTTTGATCATTAATCGGATTACAATTTCGTAGATGTACTTTACATTGAAAGAATCACGTAAATTTGTTGATTTATTTTTGCGTCTTATTTTATTTTTTTTGTTTGATTTACACTCCTGAGAAAATTGTTTATTTTTCCTAAGAAAGTTTAATTAACCCAAATATTTTACTATATTGATAATTTTGTAATAATTGACTTGAAAGCATTCCTATTTAAGAAATTTTTATCTAAGAAGTTAGGAGATGGATTGCCTCCAGTTCGGAGCAATGTTTGGGTCCGTGAAATTCACCACGAATTATGTTTTAATAATTTAAATCGTTTATTTTGTTACTGTACGGGCTTGTCATGCGGGTGACCTGGGTTTGATCCCTGACAACGGTGCCAATTGTATGGGCAAAGAAAAATCTCGTAATTGTTGATGAAGTAAATTTAACAAAGAAGATGAGCAACGCTGCCATGCGATCTCCATATGCAAGACAAAACACTCTTAGCCATAGTCGGGGGCCTTCCGATGCCCAATCAGTCCTCTAATATGATCAAAATATTTAATGCACTAATTCATAGAGAGAAATTGCATATCTCAATCTATGGGGGTGCTGCCTATTTATAATATCGAGTGACTTACAAAACTTCTATATCGGTAAGATTTCATCTCCTGATATATTTATCCAGTGACTTACAAGACTTCTATATCGGTAAGATTTCATCTCTTGATGGGTTTTGCACAACATAAAACACTAATGCAATGTTTGATAAGGATTTGACAACGGTCATGCATGTGATAATCCATAACCATGGCAGTGCGACCAACATAATTCTTGTGGTTATTTTTATTCTCTCTCAGTTGGATATATCGTGTTTATCATTCATAATAAAAAATAAAAAATAAAAAGATCAATCCAATAATCGTAGTCTATCCAATAATCATAGTCTATCCAATTTATCTCATCGTCCTCATAAAAATGAATGATCTCTTTTTAAAAACACAATTATAGTTTATGTTTTTTGTTGACCAACGTCGTAAATTAAATACGTTACGATTATCTAATCAATCTAATTTTTTATGTGAGTATAATATGTATAAACTATATGACAAAATGAATGATTAAAATTATGACACATGATGGACCCATGCAATCAAGATGGACTCGAGCCAATCCACCTAAACAAAAACAAAAACAAAAAGCAAACAACAAACAACAAACAACAAATAAAATCCAACTAATTGGCCACTCTTGCAAAAGGTTAGGGTCAATTCCTATTCGGGACGTTAGGGTCAATTTTTGTCAAATTGAGCTTCTCTCTAATTCACAGAGGGTGTTGTCTGGATCCATGGAGCTTATTATAGGTCCTATTTCGATAATTTAAACAATTTATTTTGTATGATCTTTCGTGTATATCATTCATAATAAAAAAAAATATATATATATATATATAAAAGATCAATCCAATAATCGTAGTCTATCCAATTTATCTCATCCGTCCTCATAAAAATGGATGATCTCTTTTTAAAAACACAATTATGGTTTATGTTTTTTGTTGACAAACGTCATAAATTGAATACGTTACGATTATCTAATCAATCTAATTTTTTATGTGAGTATAATATGTATAAACTATATGACAAAATGAATGATTAAAATTATTCAAGCAGGACACATGATGGACCCATGCAATCAAGATGGACTGGAGCCAATCCACCTGGAAGAAGTTATATATATATGTGATATTGCACTTCAGATGAAGGCTGAGCAAAATATAAATAAATACTTTAGATTTAAAAAGAAAAAAAGAAAAAATAAAGATTTAAAAAGAAAAAAAGAAAAAATAAATAAAGCTACAAAATTTTGACTTTGCGACCCGAAAAGTCTCAAACGGTGGCATAGTTGCGATGCGTACGTATTTCAAAGTAGCCTCTCTCTCCGTGGAAATTGATTTTGTTTACCTACTTAAAATTTATGACTTCTTTTTAAAAAAAAATAAATTAAGGTCAAGTTTGGCAAGTTGAAAAAAAGTTAAAAAGTTATCACTATTCATCAAAAGTAAAAAATTACGGTTGCACAACTTACAATCCTAATTTTTCCTTACACACTAATTTATACAATTTTTTAATACACATTTTTTCATAAAAAGTCAAAAAGTTAACCCAACCATCCATATTTTTTTCCTCAATTTTTTAGTTCAAAAAGACAAAAAGTGCACTTATTTAGATTCAGATGAATTTATGCTTTACTCAATCAATTTTGGGACTGTAAAATTAATGATGGGGCAAATTTTCAGTGCCTCTTGAATGACTCAAATTTAAGAATTTTTTAACACAACATAAATTGTGTACAGAATTAGTTAGATCAAGATTAATCAATTTTTGACATGAATTCAATTATAACATAATATAAGTAACACAGAAATGTTTTTAAGTTTTTAAGTTAGTGTTCAACATGCATAACAAAAAGTTGATACAAATTAACTTGTCTAATTAAAGGATTAAATGTTAATTATATTTTTGGTCACCGAAATATTAGTCTCACGTAAATTTGATTCTCAATATTTAAATTGTATTAATATAATCCTTTATCTATAAAAAGTGCTTCAATTTAATCTCTTAATGGCAATAGACACAATTTAAACATTAGAACCTAACTTGACTACAAATCATCTCAAAATAGAATTGATCACACAAAATAGCGAAATTGGACCTAAAAATTAGTCAGAAGGCCAACCAATTCGAGACTGATCATACAATTGACTTACTCTACGTTACGTATCCCCTGATTGACTGCAACCTTAGGACATGACTGGACTGCAAATCATCAACCATTCTAAAAGAATGAACACAGAATTGACCTAAGGGGCATTTTGGTAACATACAGCTAGTGGGTGTTTTGGTAATTTCAACATCAACCCATTCTATATATATTGAAGCAAATTCTTGCATCATTCTTCATATCATGCAACCCAAACTAGATACAAACATGGCAAAGATAGGCTTATCCATGGCATTGATCATGGTCTTCCCCTTCCTTCTAGCATTAGCCACTGCCCAACAATGTGGTAGCCAAGCCGGTGGCCAAACTTGCGCTAACAACCTTTGTTGTAGCCAGTACGGTTATTGTGGGACAACCGATGACTATTGTTCACCTTCCAAAGGTTGCCAGAGTAATTGCCAAACCGGTGGCGGTGGTGCTAGCGGTGAAAGCGCTGCTAATGTTAGGGCTACGTACCACTATTACTATCCTCAGCAAAATGGATGGGACTTGAATGCAGTAAGCGCTTACTGCTCGACTTGGGATGCTAATAAGCCCCTGGCATGGCGGAGCAAGTATGGATGGACTGCCTTTTGTGGACCAGTTGGGGCTCATGGCCAGGCATCTTGTGGCAAGTGCCTTAGGGTAAGTATACTAACCTTCAATATCTATATCTAATTTTAAGTTTTTTTTTTTTTTTTTGAGAATACAAATAATAAACTCACACATTTTTTCTAACAGTTTAAACTTTTAGATAAGACAGTGGTTAACAATTTAATATGATATCAAAATCCATACCATATGTGAGAGGACGCTTTAGAAATTTAAATAATGAAGGAAATTCTATAGCGCACACTTCAAAAAAAAAAGTATACCACATGCTCTACTTAAGATGTTTTGTGAATTATGATATTAGATATGATTTAGTACTGACTTGTTTTGGTTATGGCCAAAGAAAATTTTGATTTTATCTTCAGCGGTGTGTTTAATTATGAGTCATTATGATCTCTTTAGTTATAATTGAAAATAATTTAATTATAACATAAAATGATATCTACACCATAAAATATCACAACTTGCAAATGATATATACTCATTTTTAAATGTGCATTGTACAATCTCCATTGATTGTGTGAGGCATTTACTTCGGAATTTTTACAAGGTATGTTTTCGCTAGTCTTATTAGAGATCGTCTTACCTAATGTTTCCATTGAAAAAAATAAAAAACAAGATAGTCAGCTTTGACACGGCAAACTGATATTTTTACATAAAAACAAGAAAAAATTGTCAGCTTTCATATGGCAAAATACTTGTGCTCTGTTTGTCTCCCCCATTTTTACATTTTTTGTAATTAGGATTTTAAAAAATTAATATGTTAATATAGTAGTGGTGATATGGCGGTGGGGCTACAACAATGGTGCAAGGTAGGGGTAGCGGCAGTAACAGTATTGGTAAAATTTTAGTTCAAAAAACGTTTTTACCTTTCAAAAGTAGATAATTTTTTTTTTTTTTCAACCATGGAATACGTTTTTCTTAACTTTCATTTTTTGTCATACCAAACTCAAAAGAAAAGAAGAAAACAAATTCAAATTTTTTTTTTTTTTTTGCTGAAACAAACGATAATTTTGAAAGAGAAATGATACACACAGTACAGAATGATATGAAAGAATTATGAACTTACAACTTCAAAAAAAAAAAAAAAAAAAAAACCCACATGAAAATGATTTTTAATATCAAAACTGCAAATGACGCATCATTATGATAAATGATTGTATATTAAAATTCTGAAAAAAATAAAATTTTGATTTTGAAATGAAATGTGCAGGTGACAAACACAGGCACAGGAGCTCAGCAAACAGTGAGAATAGTGGATCAGTGTAGCAATGGAGGGCTAGATTTGGACTCTGGTGTGTTCAACAAACTTGACACTGATGGAAAGGGCTATGCACAAGGCCATCTCACTGTCAACTACCAGTTTGTTGATTGTGGTGACTAATTAATTAATTACAAATATTATTATTATTATTGGGATAATAATTAATATTTGTGCTTAATTTATAAGTAACTAAAGTCTTTTATATATAGGAGATATGTGGTGAAGAGCTTCTCCAATAATAATTGAAATCACTTCGTTGTTTGTTGTTGTTGTTATTGTTGTTTTAATTAGTTCAAGTATTAATAAATAAACATATATAACAACATGTTTTGAGAAGTGTTCAGTTTTCTACACTGACCAAGTTGATGTCTAGAGCTAAACATCTGGAGTACAATTTTTTCTTCTATCTTTTAATTGGTTACACTTATTGATTGTATGAAATTTTATCACTTCCGGAAGAAAATGATTTGGTGCAGCAGTTCTACAAATTTAGAAAGAAAAAAAAAAAAAAAAAATTGTTCACATTTTGCAATCAAAAGCCAAGATTTATTTATGATGTGACTTCACAATAAAAAATTTAAATATACACAGTTAATTTGAAAATTTCAATAACTTTCATCAGATCACCTTTTTGAGTGCCTTAACTCTATGTTATTTGGTGGCATGGGCACTACATCACCATGCCATTAATTAATAATTCAAGCTAAAGAAAATAAAAGAATACAAAAAGTACTTAAATAAAAGAGAAGATTTAGTACTGAATAGCAATGAATTACAAACTAGACACAAAAATGGTCTAAACCATCCAGACTGATTGATATATTTGAGAAGTCAGAGCTCTATCTTGGCTAGGAAATGTGCTAGTTTGCTAATTTAGAATGGAAACCTCTATTTCTATTACCATCAATGGATGCCTAAAAAAAATCTTTAAAACACAAAAATAGACAAACACATTTAGAGTTGATCGTTGAAGAGCTAGGAAAAGACATAGATCTATCATCGTTGTCGTTTTTTATTTGACACTCTTCTATGTTTTTTCCGAGCATTGTTTAGAAGAAATTGGCCAACTTCCACTAGAACCCTTGCGACTATAGTTCAGCACTATTTGACATTTCCTATATTAGTAGATAGCCTGGCCTTGGGATTTTTGGGGTCAAAAGTAGAGATGGCAATCGGAACCCGGCCCGACGGGGACCCGATCCCCCGACCCCGAATTGAGCGGTTATTTCCCGAAAAATACTCCCGACGGGTTGGGAATAGTATTAAAAATTAAATCCCCGATGATAATCGGACCGGGGACGGGAATACATGTTTTAGTCCCGGACCCGGCCCGATCCCTGCCCCGATCCCCGGCCCGGTTGCCCCCGATGTGAATTTACTACTTTGCCCCTGCTTATATATAACATATGCGCGCGTGTGTGTAGGGTTTTGGCTGACCACACTCACACACAACACACACAGCCGCTCTCTCTTCTCTCTCTCTCACCAAATTTTCATTCTCATTATTCAAGTCTTCAACTGATTTTTCTGTTTGTTTGTCACTCGTAAAGAACTTATCAATAGCTCCTTTTTGGCACTCGACTAATTTTTCGACTTTTTGCTTCTTTTTCCTTTTTGCGAATCTAGACGAATAATTTCTTTTAAGAGTAATGATGACCTGAGAACAAAATTCTTTTTTAGATCAAAATTCAAAACAAGAGCACCACCACCACTTAACAAAACACAAAATTTTTAAATTATGTAATGTGAACTATTAAACTTAATCAAATTATTCTTGATGATGTAAATACCAATATTATAATAGCAATTGAGTAACAGATAAGACAAATATTTAAGTAATTGAATAGAAAAAAATATCGACCTATTCTGCTCAGTGCTGTTCTGTTTGTGTGTTGCTCACTGCTCAATGCTGCTCCGTTGTGCTCTTTGTTGGGCTGCTGCTGTCAAGCTGTTAGGAAAATTGGATTAAGAGTAGTTAGGGTTAGGAATTAGATAGGGAGAGAGAATAGGCCCTTTCAATTTTGAATGGGCCTTTCAATTTTTTAATGGGTCAATTTATTTTAAGTTAGTTTGGGCCTTCTTTAATTTTTTTTTCGGACTTAAAACATATAATAGGAGGGGGCCTCTTTTTTGGGTCTATTTTAAGGGGCCCTAGGCCATGGCCTGGTGGGCCTATGCCCAGGGCCAGCCCTGGATATTAGGTACAGTAGAAGGAGAATCAACAGATTCATGTTGTGTATATGCATCAATATCGACATAAACATTAGGAATATTGGAATCCATAGTAATATAAGTACTCTTTTATTTTTATTTTTTTTTAATTTTCATTATTTAACATAATTTATAAACCTGTATTTTTTTTTTGTCTTTTTATTTTTTTTGGTCATATTATTTCTCTAATTTTTTACACATTTTTTTATAAAAAAATTAAAAAATATACTTATTTAAATTATCTCAAACACCGTCTTTGTTTGACCGACCTGGCAAATACAAAATTACGGTGATAGGGGAAAAAAAAATTATGCTATAAAGTAATAACTAAATGACACTCTCTATGTTAATTTACAATCACGATAAAATGGTAAACTTTACAATATTCATTAATTACAATCATTAATATAAAACGGTAAACTTTGCAATATTCACTGAGAATAATGTTATATGTACTAAGTAATGTATACACTGGTATATTAATAGATAATGTGTCATCATTTGTATGGTATTGAGTATTTGTAACTTGTATAATAAATGTGGTCAATAATAATATTATAACGGAAGCTTTTTTGATAAGTCTTCTTTCTAAGAGTTTTATTTCATCCAACCCATATTCTTTTTGACTATTCTATTAGATTCTATTTGAGATCAGAAGACCAAAACACCCCTAATCTCTCATGTCCCTATTAATGTTGATTGTTATTATATTTTGGTAATTCTCATACATCAAGATGTTGACTATCGTTATATTCATATTAATTTAAAATGAATTTTTGTCATTGTGTTGTCAATTATATGATGTAAATATTCACATCATGTACTTGAAATGAATATTCACATCATTATATTCATATTAATTTAAAATGAATTTTTCTCATTGTGTTTTCAATTACATGATGTGAATATTCATACTAAAATATACAGATGTGAACGTTCACATCACTATATATTGTGAATAAGAATGTATTGTCAATTAAAAATATAAAATGTTGTGAACATTCACATCACTACATTAGATGAGAGAGAATTTTTCGGAAAGATGTTGTGAACGTTCAAATCAGATGAGAGAGAATGTTCATATTATTTTTAATGTGTTGTCAATTAAAAATAAGAAGGTTCACATGTTGTGAACGTTCACATCACTACATTAGATGAGAGAGAATTTTTCAGAAAGGTGTTGTGAACGTTCACATCAGATGAGAGAGAATGCTTACATTATTTTTAATTTGTTGTCAATTAAAAATATATTCACATCAAATGAGAGAGAATGTTCACATTATTTTTAATGTGTCGTCAATTAAAAATATATTCACATTATATAATAATATAAAATAATAACATCAATGTTATTTAATTTGTGTATGAATTTTTCTATGTCTTTGTCATTTCCTTTCTCTCTCCACATTAAATATTAACATTAAATATCAATATTAAATATAAGGGCATAAGAGTCTAAAAAAATAATATACGAATAATAATAGAGATCATGAAAAAAATATCTTGAAATGTATCATGAAGATTTTTTGTCCTTTGATTAGTGTGTGGTGTTTTATTGTATGTGTAATCCAAAGGTAGAGAATCTTTCATGATCATCTTCATGATAATTTTTTCATGATCTCTAGCATATATAAATATATGGGACTAAATGGGTTAAAAAATTCTTTCATAAACTTCTTGGGTTAGAACACTGGATTTATCAATAAAAATTCTTATTATAACATTAGTTGGCCCACTAGTGTGTATACTAATTGGTGAATATAGTATCACCGCATTCACTAATTAAAATAAACACGGAATAATCACTAATTAAATTGGTGTTGATTATGAATGATTATTGTAGTAAAGTCAACAAATTATCACTATAATCTCATTGGGATGATTACGATCGTAAAGTGATTCTTGATTATGTCTTAAAGTATGACCCAATATAAATATAATTAATAACTTATGTTCATTTTTTTTATATAAAAAAAAATCAACTATTAAAAATGAAATGTATAGATTTTTTTTATAAAATAAGACATAAATAAAAAATAAATCTCATAAATTATTGTAAAAGCATGTGGTATCCATATGGATTGAGCTTCTCTCGTGTTGAGATTTCAATATGAGAGAACTTAAGGAGCTTAAAGGGTCCACTACGGATTTTATTTCGATGACCCGAACCGTTTATTTTGTAAGGCCCTCAATGTATATTATCTATAAAAAAAAATTAATTTGATTCAATATAAGTTTTTCATTTTATTATATTTATCTTTGAAAAAATAGATGACATATATATTTTTTAAATAGAACATCTATTTTTTTAGAGACAAATATGATAAATTGAAAATATTACAATTATCGGATTGGCCTAAAATTTTTTTTGGATGATATACATTAAGGACTCTACAAAATGAACGGTTTAGATCATCGAAATGAAGTCCGTAGAAGGCCCTATGGCTCTTCAAGTTCTCTCGTGTTGAAATCTCATCATGTTAGAAATCCAACCCTACTCATATTTCATTTTTTGTTTTATTCTATAAAATTTTATATAGGATAAATTACAAATATACCCATTAAGATTTGCTTAAAATACGATTTGTTTATTGTGATTTTACATCTTGAAGTTTCTAATTTACCCCTTACTAATAAATTATCATGTCAATTAGAGAAGGCATTGGGTGGTCTTGGAACATTACTCTACACCACTTAAGGTTTGACACGTGTCCATTTGTCTATTCAAAAGAGACACCAAAGTGGTAGGTCCACTGTTTTAACCAATCAAACACAATTTGAAGCACCACATGGCTTTGCCCCTAGAGCAAAATATAATTTCTCACTCAATTAACAATTTTTAATGATGTCATAAATTTATTTCAATTAATAATTTAAGTAATTTTATCATTGTATAAGAGAATAGTTAAAAATTTTATTTTCTTAATTAATTCAGTTAAATAAAAAATTATAACAATGAAATATTTATAATTTTTCAAACCATAAAGATAGGGTTTGTTTGGAAAATATGTTGACTTTTTAACTTTTTAACTATCTTAGCCGTTTAAATTTTTTTTTTAAACTTTTTATAAAAAAAAAATATTAATTATAAATTAAATATATTTTATCTTATTAAACTAAAAAAATTATTTTATTTTTTT